TATATATATATATATATATATATATATATATATATATATATATATATATATATATATATATATATATATATATATATATATATATATATATGTATATATGTATGTATATAAGTTGAAAATGTTCTCGAGTGAGTATTTCATAATTTCCAGACCGCACGCAAGCAGAAAGATATTGCCTGCCGCGGCTGGGTTTTGAACCTGCGACCTTCGAATCACTAGATCGACTCTACCAACTGAGCTACACGGCCAGACGGATTTAAGACTGGAAATTATGAACTATATACAGTCTTAAATCCGTCTGACCATGTAGCTCAGTTGGTGTGTGATCCTTTTTGGAACGGCCAGTTGGGTTATCCAGAAAAGATCCATACTTCTCCAACAGAGCAAATTCCTGCTGTGGGGAAGACAAGAAAAGGTTCCTAATAATGGTAAGTGTATTAGGCCATCTGAAGGTGGTAGGGACTAAGGGAAATTAACTTCCAATTTCCTATGTGGGGAGGCATGAATGTTTTCTGGGATGACCCATTACCTCTTCGGGTTTAGTCCACTCCTCTTTAGGAAGTAGTTGATGTTTCATGGAGAGATCTAGAGCTCTCTTCATGCGGAACATTCTTAAGTTCTGTTCCTCCTCAGGCAAACGACGTACAGCTTCCGTCAATTCTGGTATATCTTCTTCATTCATAAGGTCATCCTTGCGTAAACCTGAAAAATCACAAATACTTGTTGAGCAAACGTTTTATTTTTGTCAACGTACCAGATAAAATGAACTTCGATACAATGGTTTGAAAAATATTGGAATCAACAAAATGGTCTCAAAATATAGACAGGCCAGGACAGCCAAATTAAATTATAAAAGGATATTAATGCAACTATTTCCTCATAAAACCATCTGATTACAAATGAATAGATTAGAAAACAAAAAATAACATGTAATAAGATGAATTCCCAAACCAAATTTTTAATACTTTAGCCGAAACGAATTTATTTAACAGGCTAAAAACGTTGTAAAAAGTTGTCATATCATACGTTATTCAATACAACTTCTACGTTAACAAAGTCTTGAAATACTCGCCTAGTTGTCTATATCCACAAGCACTCACATACCACTCGCGAAATGCATTAAAAACTCTTTGACCTGAGCTCAACTGCGAAGCAAATCGCCGGCTAACGTACGCCATCTTGGAAAGCAGAACAGGGATGAACAGGGACGTTCGGGATACGGTTTACGGTTGGGAATAAAATGGGATTGGTTAGGATCGCATGGGATCTTATAAATCAAACAGGTTGGTGGCCTGGGGAAGACCCAAAGGGGTTTCAAATTCAGAACTGGATTGATTAGGGTAGGGACAGGTCAATCTCGTTCCCCGAGCCTGCGATCCTCGGGAAGGAACGCGAGGCTCTGGGATAATCCGTTGCCGGAAGCCAGGAATTCTGGCTACGATTGAACTACGCATTCCATTTCAACGGCCAATCAGATTCCTCCCTGAAACGGATTATCCCAGAGCCTCGCGTTCCTTCCCAAGGATCACAGGCTCGGGGAACGAGATTGGGGACAGGCTTGAAGATACAGATATCCCCAAATTTTGTCACAAGGGTTGAGGTTAGGATTTAGGTATAGGAGGGGGGGGACTGGGGACAGTGGCGTGCTGGCAGGGGGGGCCGGGGGGCCACGGCCCCCCAGCTTGCAATTCTTGGGGGGCGCAGAAATGAAAAGGGGGCGCCGATCCCGCGCCGAATGTTGAAAGTGGGTGGGAAAAACGCATTCGAAAAAATAGAGTTACTTCCGCCAAGAAAACGATAAAGTGATATATTAAATTACAGACTATTTTGTCTATTAAGCCGTATTTGCTAATTTGCTACTTCACGGAGCACACGAAATCATTTATATCGGAACATGATCAGTGATCAAACGCTATGTCTCATTACCGAAATATTGATCAGGTTTGGAAGCGATCACGGGAATTATGCCCTTTTTTGCTGGTATTATGCCCTTATATTACGCCCTTTATTATGCTTCACGAGAGCGGCGCAAATTAGATAGTTGAAGTTATGATAATGTAAAGTTGTGTACGCAATTTAGTTGTTTGCGCAAGAAACATCATGAGTAATGTAAGTAATGAAATAATGCTGAAACGCGCCCTTTTGGCAGCCAGGCAAGGAAACCTTAAAATGCATATGCGTGGGGTCCATGTATTATTGTATAAAAGAGCTGTAAGTTGTAAATGTATTCAGATCACTAGATCAGTAGAGAATAGAATTGGGATTAGATTAATCGCTGGAAGTGGTTAGCATTGCATAATTTAAGTACAAATTGCAAATTTCGACACGTTATAATGCTGTTTCCTGACCATCAGATTTCTGTCAAATCGTCCCCAAAGTCCAGGAAATGGCATTTCAGAGACTCTAAATTCAAAAATTTTCCTGGGGGGCATGCCCCCGGACCCCCCTAGACAAACCTCGCACCTTCGGCGCTCGGCTCGTGCCTTCGGCCCTCGTTTATCAAGTGTAACATTATAGGGGCGCATATTGGTTGACAGCCCACTGGCCCCCCCAGAAAAATAGTACCCAGCACGCCACTGACTGGGGAGGTGGCAGATCCAAAAAAATTCATGCAGAGTCGAGGTCCTTCAAGCATTTAGGAAAAGAAAAAATCCTTCAACTACTCGAAATATCCAGAAATATATGGAGAAATAGAAATCTTGAACTCATTGATAATTTATGAGTAAATTAGCCAACCATATTGCTTTATTTTGCTCACATGATAATACTGGAAACCTGGTGAAGTTTATTGATCCAGTTCTAGGAATGGATCAAAATGAATTCAGTCCTTGGACTAGCCTGCATGGCAGGCGGTATTTCCCAGGCTTGCCCAATTTTAGGAACCGCCTGCCATGCAGGCTATCCTTGGACTGGGTCAAAATTAATTCACCTCACTTTTTAAAGTGATTTAAAAATGGTGATTTATTCGTATGAGATGTCATTTCAAATCACTTCCAATTCGGACTGGACTAGATTTCAATCAGGGTGCTTATATATCAGTAAGAAGCTATATAAGTGCCCTGATTTCAATTTTGCCCGCGCGGACTTGAAATATATTCCAGTCTTCATAGTCGGATTTGAAATATCACTTCCTGCACGGCTTCTACACCGTAAAAAGTTCGACAAAGCTCCAAACTTGCAAGGAAAATCTTCCCTCCCCTAGATTATCTTAGGATCCACTCCTTAGGAGTCGGATTAGAGTTTTATCAAGAAA